GCGTTTCCAGCTAAAATAAAAAGTAAAAAATAATCAATATTAAAAATTGTAATGGGCAAGGATTTAATGCAGAATAGATTAATTAATGCGGTTGTTTTGAAACCTTTTATTTGGATATTTTGACCTGTTTATTCGGTCATTTTCAACATACTGACAATAAAAATTTTTTTTCAGCCGCATTAATTAATCTATTCTGCATAAAAAACAATTTCAAACGAAAAATTTCTTCAAAATTTAAAAGTGAAATTCAAGATACAGAAGTTCATTACAAGACAACCTTCTATAAATAGCTCGAAGAGATACAGTCTCTAGTACCAAAATAAGTCGAATATGAACTTGGACGTGCGGCTACTTTACATGTTTTTTCATCTGAAATGCGTGATAACTTTTATTCTTTTTTCTCTAAACTCTTGAGTCAAGAGTTTAGAGAAAAAAGATTAAGAAAAAAAAATTAAAAGAAAAGGATTAAGTCAAGAGTCTTGACTGAAAACTGTGAGGTTGGTTCAAACGAGAAAATTTTTTTCGTTTGGTTATTTCTCGAATTTACATCATGAACGCAAGACACATGATTTATACATACCCAATTCGAGAATTTCGGCTGATAGATATTCCAAAACGGCAGCCATGTATATCTAGAGTAAAAAAAATGTAAAGAATCTGTTTGTCTCTGATTAAATTCTATCAAAGAGATACTAACCGGAGCTCCAGCGCCAACACGTTCTGAGTAATGACCTAGAATAAAAAGCCGGTATTTGATCACTAAAAATGAAAAAATGACTGTTAATTTTACCTTTTCTCAAAAGTCGATGTATACGACCAACTGGAAACTAGAAAATTGAGAAAAAAAGTTTAAAAAATTAGTGAACACGAATGAATTTATTATTGCTGAACTTACCTGTAAACCTGCACGAGAACTACGTGTTTGTGAACTGACTTTTTTCTTACTTTTTCCATTAATACTTGCACTAAGTTTACCGCGTCCACTCATTGTTTAAATATGTATTTGAAAATAACGATTTTTTATTACTATAGAGATTAATAGATGATGAAGACAATTGAAACAAGTAGAGAAGATAAAAACGTGTTGATAGTAGAAAAATATGCTTTGAAATGATTTTGGTAGCCTTTCTCTCTCTATATATATACAGATATATGCATCCATCACAGCACATGTCTTTTTATACTTTTCGTTGTTTTATCCATCGCATTTTATGAAAGACTGTCAAAAAGAGACCAGTCGGCAACAAATCTAACACAACAAAAATGGAAAACGAACAACTTAAACAGATATTCTCAAAAATATACTGCTGTAAAAGTGTCCATTGCCATATTAATCCTCATTGTACATAATAAAAGTCGAATACATCATTCTAAAAATCGTTATTTTTCATGTGGAGAAGAAATTTTCTTCTTTATTATCTTGTCCTGTTCTTTTTTCCGTATACTTTTAGATTGATATTTTGGTATCAAAGTATAGGATAAATTTATTTATGAAAATTTAGCACAACGATAATGTTTGAACTTTTTTGCCAAGTTTAAAATTTTGAGCAGAGTTACCAGATGGTCCACATTTTGCGGACAAACTCCGGATTTTTGAGTTTTTTCCACAATTTGCCCGTTGTTTGCTATTTGTCCACATTTTCTGCTTTTGCTGTTTTTCCCCTGAGTTATAAATTCGTTTAAACTCATCATTATCATGCGTTGAAATTCATAATTATTTCTTATCAACTCCAGAACTGTTTAAACTTATTCATTCTAATCAAAAATATACAGGTAAAAAATAATGTGTCAATTAAAATCGAGATTTACATTTCTGTTTGTTGTTCTCTTGTGTTTTATTGAGTAAAACCACAAATTACTAGAGAAAACATAATTTTTACGCTCCGTGCGTGAAAAGGAATGAAGTTAAATCATGAAAATGCGTTTCCGTTTTTTTTCGCATTTGGACTTTTTATTCCGCATTTCTGACCCGAGAATATGGTAATGAGGATGTCATGAGGATATTTAACCAGTTTCTCTTACTAGAAAGGAAACCCCGATTTATCAATAATTTTTCTCTACATGCGTGTATGTACAGAAGTTGCGTTTTTGTTGAGAAATAATGATCTTTTCCATTTCAGATGACATAGTGCACTGCAGAGTTAACG